CATCACCTTATTAAGTGGATCGTGTTAATATCACCAGCTAATGTGGGATTCTAATATGTATACTTGTTTTTCATGCTCATATCGCCATATCGGGCTTGACTATCACTTTTGTGAGAAACAATTGCTCGTTAGAAAATACATTCTGTCTTAGTTGTAAATTGCTCGTCCTATCCAACTTCTTAAATATTACAAAGAATTTTAGTCCATGCAAGGCATAGCATATTTCTGCACTTGACAACCCGACATGGCATGCCAAAAAATGCAAGCCAGGTCAGGACTTTTTATGTGCCTGGTTATGCCAACCTGACATGTTCGACACCTCACCACAACTCAAAGCTTCAGAAGAACGAATCTTGCCTCGTGGAAATCACCCATGCAATCTTGATGAGCTCACAAATCCCACAACACATGGCTGTTCCATATCCTAATGGAAATAAGTAGAATGAAAAGCCTGTTGTTTCTTTCAAGGGCGATTAAAGATTATGTTGGTGCTTACACGTGAAACAGAAGAAGATTGTTGGGATTTATGTTAGAGGAAAAATATCCTGGGAAGAGTTACACCTATGAACCTCTTTCACCTATTGACACCTTAGTCATTCCAAATGAATATGGCTTTAAGAAACTGTTATTAAGCTTAATTACACACATCTGCTTATATAACAGCTCGCTTTGGCTACTAAGATTTGGGGAGAAACAACTAAGAGACGCTACTTTAGCCAAATGAGTTTTAATGGTGAAACCAAACCATGTGACATCTATATAACCGACTTCAGTAAAGAGTTTGCTACATCAGTAAACGATCCAACACTTGATGCTTTAACATGTCAACAAAGATTGGTCTCCAGAAATGCATGTTGGGCTTAATTTTATGGCGAACTCCTTGAAAGGATCCACGAAAAAACATATATAACATGTGAAATGGTTTTCCCAGCTAACATATATGGGATCAAACCAAAAAATAAAGACATAAAGAGGAAACTGTGAACAGTCATACTCCTAGTCATCCTTCAAAATCTAGTCTCAGAAAAAAAATGTACATCGTTTATTGATTTTGCATTCGCAATTGCATCTAACTTTAGTCCTTTTCAATTGAATGAAATATTCCACACACATTAAAGAGTTTGTCACTTGGAAGAATAAATCATTAAACAGACTAAAAGGAGTTTTGTCTTAAACCAATAGAATGAAGGTCTCAAATCATTACTTATCCTGGTTTAAGCATTTGATGAAACAGATATCTTCAATAAAAATATATAATACATGAGACAGAGTTGAGTATTAAGAAGCATGTACCAGAGCCATTTCCAGAAGCCACAAGATAAGTTACAAGATCTGCGAGTCTTCCTAGTTCTGCTTTGATTAACCAAAAATATAAATACAAAAGTGAGCAATCACCATTTTGGAGTAGGATCCGAGGAAAAGATATTAAAGTTTTTTTTTCTTACACAGGTATAAGAGGATCTGTATTTCCCGACACAAGATCAACAACCCTGCCAAATTAACATTTGGTTTAATTGCGAGCAATGGTAATGATCTAGGTGCATAATTGGCTCGTTTTGAGGAAAGAAAAACAGTATTAAACTTGCATTTGTTCCATCCACGGGTAATCCATAAATACTTCTAGAATTTAAGCAAGGCGTTCTAAAAAATGACATACTCTTTACAGGCTCGAGAAGCCGGTTGGAGGCTTTCAACAGACTTTAATTCTTCCTGCTTAAAATAAAATTTTCAATTGAAGATCTCATTCATGAAAATTGGCTTTTAAGAAAACTTAATCTATTCAAGAATTGCAATAACAATAAAAATGTAGTAAGACAAGTTACTTAAAATACTTCTAGATAAACCTATAATTTTTTCTGTAGTATAGGATGGTGCACATCTATCTGTAATGTAATTCAACAATGTGAAACTGAAAAATTAAAAATCAGGCTGGCTGCAAAGACTCCCATTCATCTAGGATTGGAAAGTGTGGATGTACCATCAACAATTGCAATAGTTACAGCCATAACACAAACAGGATGGATCGTATTCAGAAGCCCTTATGAGATAATTACTGATGGCGTGGCAATCAGAGCAGACAAATGAGTCCACTGAACACGTATCTTCTTCACTCGACACAACAGTAGAATGAGTTTATCACATTTTTCTACCAAAAAATGACATTTGCAGAAGCCATTGCATCAATTCATTTGTTTACTCACAATGTGTCCAGCCAGTTTGCAGGATCTCAATGCAAATATTGAGCTATGTAATAGTGAAGTTTCTATAAACATCTGCATGCTACTTGGAACATTATACCAAGTGTAAATATACCTAATGACGGATATGATGCGTGTCAAAAGAAATTAACGAAGAGGTTTTACTGATGAAAGTGGGTAAGACATTTTATTTTCGTTTCACCAATAGAATACCTATGTTTTATCTTTGTTTTCTTAGTACTAACTCTTCTCATAACAACGTCAAACCATAGCATAAAATGGCTCGTAAGTACTTTTTTTGAAGTCATTAAAAAGCTTGTGAATTCAAAAGGGTAAACTGAAATCATGATCAGCAAGAAATCTAAAATCCAAATGCCATTAGGGGAATCCTGAATAAGTTGCCGTCGAGAAAAGCACTTGATCCAAGTAATATTTGATTTTAAGTTGCATTGATTAGACCAGACCTATATCAAATTCGACTAGGTCAAACATTAATGTTCTGTAATCATTCAGCCAAATCCAAATTATTCTTAGTAGTCTTTTTTTTTTTTTTTTTGTCA